AAGGGGCACCAGAAAAAAAGGAAGTTACATGTTTATTTAAAGCATTGTTTTTAACACTAAAAGTCAAGTAACAACTAAAACTCCAAAAAGAAATTTTAAAATTATACACAACTATTCAAAGTTGTCATAGAGCCGGGCATGGTGGCTCACGCCTGTAATCCCAGGACTTTCGGAGGCCAAGTCGGGGGGTGGGTCACCTGAGGTCAGGAGTTCGAGATCAGCCTGACCAACATGGTGAAACCCCATCTCTACTAAAAATACAAAATTAGCTGGGCGTGGTGGTGGGCACCTGTAATCCCGTCTACTTGGGAGGCTGAGGCAGGAGAATCACTTGAACCTGGAAGGCAGAGGTTACAGTGAGCCGAGATTGTGCCACTGCACTCCAGCCTGGGCAAAAAGGGCGAAACTCTGTCAAAAAAAAAAAAAATTAGCTGGGCATGGTCATGCATGGCTGTAGTCCCAGCTACACAGGAGGCTGTGGGATGAGAATTGCATGAACCTGGGAAGCAGAGGTTGCAGTGAGCTGAGACTGCACCACTGCACTCCGCTGGGCAAGACAGCAAGACTCTGTCTTGAAATAAATAAATAAAGTACAGTGTTATGATACTTTATAAAAAGAGATTCTAGAGGCCAGGCACAATGGTTCAGCACTCTAGGAGGTTGAGGCAGGAGTATCACTTGAGCCCAAGAGTTTGGGAGCAGCCCAGACAATATAGTGAGATCCTGTCTCTACAAAATAAAAATAAATTAGCTAGGCATGGTATGCATGCCTGTACTTCCAGCTATGAAGGAGGCTGAAGTGGAAAGATCACTTGAGCCTGGGAGGTCAAGGCTGCAGTGAGCAGTGATCATTCCACTGTACTGCAGTCTGGGTAACAGAGTAAGACCCTGTATCTAAAAAATAAATAAAAAGAGAGATCCTACCTTATCTTACCTATCTTAACTGATGCTTGGTAACACTGATATTTATCACTTAACGCTTCATACTCTTGATTTTATGATTTGACCAGGCAGAATATAAAATAATGGGCATTTGTTAAAATGATGGCATCAATTATAACAAAATTATATGCTTTGAGGCCCATAAAAGATAGTCACAACCAGTCATTCTATGTTAGAGAAGTAATTTGAAGTTAGTCTTGGTTCATATCTTCTGTACTGGCATAATTGTTAGCAGTGCCTGCTTTCACTCTCAAGTCCTGGTAAATGATGGCTATTCTATATAATCAATTTCAGAAAAGAATAATTACACTGAAGTAATTTTATAAATTTACTGTTTAGTCTGTGATAGGAAATATCAACTGTCACTAACACTTGGAAAGTATAGTTGTCGCAGTATTTAATATTCAATTATTTAAATAATTTTGCAGCCACAAAAAAGAACAAGATCATATATTTTGCAGGAACATGGATGACACTAGAGGCTATTATTCTTAGCAAACTAATGCAAGAACAGAAAACCAAATACTGCATGTTCTCACTCCTAAGTGGGAGCTAAATGATGAGAATTTACGAACACAAAAAACACTCCAGGCATGGTGGATCATGCCTGTAATCCCAGCACTTTGGGAGGCTGAAGCAGGCAGATCAC